TTGAAGATCGGATTATTTACAATGAGAATTTACTGTGGGTAAATTCGTTAGTAAATTTGTGGAAGGGGTCGATGTGGTTTTTTTAATGGGAGGAAAATTGGACAAGAAAAGGGGGGAGTTTTTATTTCAGTTCCGACGTCCGTCTAGAGGGAGGAAACGAGGGAAAAGCGGGAAAAAATTGCCGACACGACCCGGACGGCGAATTTTCTATTTGCGGCGCCGGCGGCGGCCCTGAAGAGGCCCTCGAATTTTCTGGGGGAGAAAACACGGATCGGGGGTAAAAAAAATTAATCGAGAGGGAAGCTTCGCATCCCCTGGCGTACGTCTGCGTGGCACTTCGGGCCGGAAGTGGTTGCGTGACGGTGGGAAAAAAAATGAAGAGGAAAAGGGTCGACACCGAGGGCTCTGCAATCTCGGAAATGTACGCCTCGCTGCCTCCTGCACTTCTTATTACCCTTTATCACCCTAATTCCAGGGTGGCGTGCCTTCCTCTCGGATAAATATCGAGGAATCGCCACTTGTTTCCATTAATTTGACACCCGGGGTCGATTAGTAGCCGATCGATTCCAGGAAAATGGTGGCGCGCGCAAGGGATGAATATTTCCGGTAATCCGTGTATTTAATTCATGTAATTGATTAAATTCAGTTGATTTACCTAATTTATGAACGCAGGATTTAACGCAATATAGAATTTTTGGATCGTTGTGTAGTTTTTTCCTGAATATGGGATATCGAGGGTTATCATCGGTTAATCTGCCCGGGGGAGAAGAAAAAGACATCGAAGATATTCGCTCTCAAATCCTTCGAAGGATCCGCCGGGGCTTAATTATTTCCTGGCGTTCATTAATTTCAGAATAATTAGAGGGGGGCGCGTACGGAGTCCAGGTGGAAAAGCCAACAGGCTGAGGAAGTTTCAATAACCCTACTTCATGGTTATAGGACCTCGGAAGCTCGTGACCGTATTCCCGTTTCCGTCAGGAATCGTAAAAGCTACAGTATGGCCGGACGTATTAAAAGCGCGAACTGCATCGTTAAATCACCTTACGACTGCACTCCCCATATGTCGTGATAAACCCTCATATTTGTAATATATGTACCACGCGTCGGAACAAACGGGTCCCATTTCATGGGGGTGTTTTTCATGGGGATCCGAATAGCCGGTGCTACGAACAGAACCTAATCGATTCAACGACCGATCGATTGACACTCGATAATAATTTTTCGAATTTTTTCTACCATAAGTATTCATCGTTACGTCTACTAAATCGCATCTCAAGAGTCCCATTTTATTTGCCCTCGGTAAAAAATCTCTTCAACGAATGATTAAAATTAAAAATGATATGCTATGCCTCGGAATAAAGATATGAAGAAATTGAACAGAAATTGAGATTAATTCTGGATATCCGAAGGTACACTTTGCTTCTCTTATCTCCAATTTTCTATCACTCCGTTCACTCGTCGATGATTTATCATGGGGAGATTTCCCTAGAAATGGGGTTTATTCTTGGTATAGCGAGGCTGGGGATATTCCAGGGATCGTAAAAGTTCAAGAAATCTGAGCCGCCTCGTCTTTATGCATATCGATGGGTGATCGATTAGGCGCGTCCTGGAATCCCTTCGATTATCATTAGGGGTGACATCTCAGAATGAGATTACGCAGGAGTCAGGCTCGTAAATCACCTGTTCCGGGCCATATTGAATGCAGGAAGGTGCATTGAGCAAACAACGTCGAGCTGCCCCTGCGAGCTGAATCTGAGGGCGATAAATTTCCCTAGCGAGGGGGATGCGCCCCCGTTATGGGATTCTAGGGGATTTCTTCAGGTGTCGGTGAAGTTTCCCCTCCGCAGCTTCCCCTGGAATCGGAAATCTCGTTTCCACGCCGATCGAGCTCGAGGAATCTCCCAGGCAACATCAGCCTCGACAAAAAATAGTGTAAGATACTTTCTGCATGAAAAAAATCGATTAAAAATCAATTCCGAAAAATTGTTAGGTTTCTTTTCCTTGTTTCAATTATGATCGAGTCTTGCAACAATGTGCGCGAATTAAACGCAATTTTCCGACCGGCAATTAATTCGAGAAGCGAATTATGGGCGATAAAAAAGTGGGTGACACTTTCTGCAGGACAAAAAATGGATTAAAAATCAATTCCGAAAAATTGCAAGGTTCCTTTTTTTTCTCTCAATTCTGGTTGAGTCTTGCAACAATGTGCGTAAATTGGACGCGATTAGTTGGCCGGCAATTGATTCGAGAAGCAAATTATGGGCGATAAAAAAGTGGGAGACTGCAGGAAAAAAAATCGATTAAAAGTTAATTCTGAAAAATTTCAAGGTTCCTTTTTTTTCTCTCAATTCTGGTTGAGTCTTGCAACAATGTGCATAAATTGGACGCGATTAGCTGGCCGGCAATTCATTCGAGAAGCGAATTATGGGCGATAAAAAAGTGGGAGACACATTCTGCAGGAAATGAAAAATCGATTAAAAATCAATTCCGAAAAATTGCATGGTTCCTTTTTTTTCCTCTCAATTCTGGTCGAGTCTTGCAACAATGTGCGCGAATTAAACGCGATTAGCTAGTCGGCAATTAATTCGAGAAGCGAATTATGGGCGGCTTCGTGCCGATTGACTCATTCACGAGACTTGACTCGACGACCTGCGATTATAAGCCCTAACTCGAGGCGAGTACTCTCAGAGTGAGTACGCGTATGCAACCAGCAGGTGCATTACCCTGAAGTGTGCACATTAAGGCAAGTGCACAACGGAAGATGTCCACGGATCGGCATTTTACGAGGGCGTTTCTCCTGGAAGGGAACCCATAAACGACATTCATCGATAACCTCCTTTTAAAGGTAGAAATAGCCAAACCCGTAAAAATGGCGGATTTGCCCATTGAAGACAGGAAATCTCGTTTTCGTGTTAAACCTCCTTTATTATTCTTTCTTTTAGTTCGACACAATTTCTCGCGGTACCAGTGTGTACCATGTTGTGCATTTCCGTTCGAATTACGCATTTCCATGCCGATTCGAAATTCCAGTTTAATATATTCAGCCTTGCTCGGCGCGGAAGTTCGCCAACTCCGGAACTTCTGTGCAATTCCGGTAACGCGGATTCGAAATTTCGCGGCTTGTCGTCGGTTTATCGGTCCCAAGTTATTAGACAAATCCACACTTAGTGCTGATTTGAGCGATTAAAGTCTAATTAAACAGAAAAATAATTAGGCTACGAGGCAATTTCTTCTCTTCTTTGCTGGCCTTTCGAATATTTTCTTCATTGTAGTGCTCTGATGATGGTTTGACATTTCAATTCCAGAATTTCCGTGGGACTTCAGACAGGAGAAATCTGAAATTTTTCGACCTGTCGGCATATCGAATTGAAATTATCCCGAAAATTAAGTAAATCCAGCCTTCATGCACTGACAAAAACAAAAACTTCATTGAACCGAAGAAATATCTCTTTGACCAGTGCCAAAGAAATGTTTCATAAATTGAAGAAATAATGATCTCACTCTAATTAACACGAATAAATGGTATACAACATTTGTTCTGAATTATGACAATTTAAATATGTTTATTTGAGTGAAGTAATTATTCTATGAAATATTTCTTCGGTTCAATGACATTTTTTTCTCAGGGTGGAAACGCGTTCATTTCTTTTATTCTTTAGAGCAATTCTCTCTGCTTTCGAATACATTGTCAATTGAGGAATTCTCGATTACCCCTTGGAATAATTTATCAATTGAGGGCTCGCCGGCCTTCGGATGGCCCCGATATTTAGATGGGGCGGTCAAAAGACGCCGGCGACTTAAATCGCGACACCAAGGAAACCCCCCCCCCCCCCCCCTCGGGATGCGATGACGTCGACTTGGCAAGAGCTCCCATGGTTCCCTGGACCGGAAGTAATCCATCGAGTTGAGCGATGATGATGTCCGAACGGTCACCCGGGTCATCGTCAACGCAGTGGTACCGGCCGGCGCCGAACGACGCACGCAAACGCTCTCGTTCTCTTTCCAATTTTTTTTTTCGGTCCCAAATCGAGCCCTTTCCCCCGTTTTCAATTTTTCCACCCTTGATCGATCATCGATGACCCAGTTGGTTCGATAATCGGGCCTTGGAACGGCGCAGATAACCGGAAACGCGAGTGATAACCCGCGACCGGCGCCGAACGACGCATGCGAACGTTTCCTTTCGGTACTCAATTTTCTTTCAGCCTCAAATCGTGCCCGTTCCCCCGTTTTTAATTTTTCCACCCTTGATCGATCATCGATGACCCAGTTGGTTCAATAATCGAGCCTTGAAACGGCGCAGATAACCGGAAACGCGAGTGATAACCCGCGACCGGCGTTCTCGACGCACGCGAACGTTCCCGTTCGGTTTCCAATTTTCATTCAGCCTCAAATCGTGCTCTTTACCCCGTTTTTTATTTTTCTACTCTTGATCGATCATCGATGACCCAGCTACTCCGATAATCGGGCCTTGGAACTGCGCAGATAACTGGAAACGCGAGTGATAACCCGCGACGGGCTCCGAACGACGCATGCGAACGTTCCTGTTTGGTTTCCAATTTTCTTTCGGCCCCAAATCATGCTCTTTCCCCCGTTTTTTATTTTTCCACCCTTGATCGATCATCGATGACCCAGTTGGTTCGATAATCGAGCCTTGGAACGGTGCAGATAACCGGAAACGCGAGTGATAACCAGCGACCGACGTCCTCGTCGGTCGCGGATTATCACGTCCTCGTTGCGCGCACGTTATGAGCCTTGTTAAATATATTACTAATTTTTTGTTCTATAAATTGTGCTCGATGACGCATTGTTGATAATCCTGCGAAGGTACTGGTGGGATCTGGGCCTTTAAATCGGAACGAAAGTGGCTGAAATGATCAACTGGATCGCGAACATAGGGACGGTTGGTGGGAGATTTGTCACTCGCGAGGCCTGATTTTTGGGAGGCGAGATTTGAACATTTATGAAGCTCTTCTCTTCTTCAAGATGATCCGGGGGAAGATTCGGAGGATGTTGAAGAATAGGAAGCATCGCGAGTTTCTCTGAGGGCCGATAACGAGTCCCGGAAGACACCTTGATATCTGCGTCTCTCGAGTTCCCCAGAATGTGAGATATCACGAGTCGCTCTAGAACTGCCATCCACGTTTATTCGTACAGTCCATAATATTTATTCCTATACTTGAAAATGAGGAAATATTTCGCCATTTCAATGTATTTCTTGCAACAAAGGCTGGCTGTCTCCAAAAAGGGAGGAGAAAGGAACAGCTGTATCAAATGCTTCCCGAACATATTAATTCTTATAGAAATAATATATCCATAATCCTAAAAACAAAGTGCAGCCACGTAAGGAATAATACGTTCGTTTCAATCGTATGTACTCTAATCTTACTTGCATAGACCCGATCAGCTGTTATCTAGCCACGATTTGAATGACAAGAAACAAAAGTATTCCCCAACATTCTCCGCCTTGAATTGATAAAATAACAATTTTATTTTTCATTTGACATCCCGCTCGAAGTAATATGTTCATAAGAAATGATATGTTCGTTTCAGTCGAATCTAGTTCAGTCCGGCCTGAATAGATTCAATCAGCTGTTATCTAGCAACAATTTGAAAGAAAATAAATATTCCCCGAAATTCTCCGTTCTGAATTGATGAAATATCAATTTTATGTTAGCTTTGATATCCTGGACGTTCATTTTAAGAAATGATACGTTCGTTTCAGTCGAATCTAGTTCAGTCCGGCCTGAATAGATTCAATCAGCTGTTATCTAGCAACAATTTGAAAGAAAATAAATATTCCCCGAAATTCTCCGTTCTGAATTGATGAATTATCAATTTTATTTTAGCTTTGATATCCTGGCCGACCATCTTGAGAAACGATACGTTCGTTTCAGTCGAATCTAGTTCAGTCCGGTCTGAATAGGTTCAATCAGCTGTTATCTAGCGACATTTTTAAACAAAGAAGAAAACATCCTCCAGCACTCTCCGCTCTGAAATGATAAAATATCAATTTTATTTTAGGTTTGACATCCCGGCACGAGGTTAGAACCAAGAAGAGCGATGGGCAGACAAGTAGAGGAGAAATAGCAGAGAGTGGTCAGTCGTGGGTAGCCAGCCTGCATTGACAAGGTGGAGGAGGAGGAGGAGGCGGGGGAGGCGGAGAAAGCGAAAAGTAGAAGAAAGGGAGGAAAACGGTGGAAAAGTCGACGAGAGGTGGCGAATTGGTCGAAAAGGCGAAAAACGAGCCCGGAGATGTCTCGGAGGCAGGCTGGTCCAGGGATCTGGTGCTGGGTTTGGGTGCTGGGCGCCCTGGGGACCACCGTGGGTCAGCTGGTCCAGCACTGTCCACCCCATGGTCAGATCCACCCTTGCTCCTGCACCGTAAAAAAAGCAGGACTGGACATCCTCTGCGAGTTCACCGATTTATCCCACATCACCAAGGCCATGGACGTCCTCAAGGGCGGGTCGAACGTTATCTTTTATCTCAAACTAAGGCACAACAACCTCCCAAAACTCCAGGGCTTCATATTCTTCGGCCTTGACATCTGTCATCTCACCATCCACAACAGTAGCCTCGCGGTTGTCGAAGAAACGGCCCTCAGTTCCGTGGGTAAGAGTCCATTCGGTCTGATTATCTAGAAAATGATAAGCAAGTTCAAGGCCAAGCTAAATGAGCAAGACCGACATCGATTTGACTCACCATTCATTATTACGGTCTTTCACGCTAAGATTTGACGTTTCAATTTTGAGTGGAGTTCAATTCCTGCTTTATACCCATGTTGCACTTGTTGATGGATATTAATTTATATATATATTTTTTTATTGCGCTATGGTGTTCTCTGAAATGTACTTAGGGGATGTAACTCGAGAGAATTCGACGTTGTGCGAAGAGAAAAAAATTCCCCTTTCGAATTTTTCTATTTGTACCGCGACTTGTAATTTGTTAAGCCTTTGGCATTGTTGAAGATGGACCTTGAGGTGGTCGTTGTAATGGAATCGAGTATTTTGTTACGGATACAGGGAAGGCGTTGACTCAGCTGGACTTTTCCCAAAATTCCCTGGTCTCTGTCCCATCGGCGGCCATGCGACCTCTTCATCATCTTCTCATCTTGAATCTGAATCATAACAAGGTCGGAGCTCTTCATGGAAAAGCCTTCGAAGGTCTCGACACCCTAGAAATTCTCACCCTCTATGGAAACAAGATCTCCAACATAGAGCCGGACGCCTTCAAGGGGCTGGATAAGTGAGTTAGAAATACCCGTCGTTCCAAAGCCAATTTCCCGAGGCGAATTTAAGAGCCTTTTACTCTTATATTCTATGTATATACACGAGCGCCGTAAAAAAATGTCAGGATTAATTAATAAATGTCCCGGCCGTGGTGTTAAAAGGAATACCGGCTCGATGCATCGGTCACATTCATTCGACGTTTTCACCCCTCGCGAGTGATTGAAAATGTTTGGAAATGTGTGTAAATAGTGGAAAACACTCGGGAAATGTTCGGGAAAAATGTCAAATATTTCTTCTGGCTTGTTCTTTATTTATCTCCTTTTTTTTTTTCTCTCTGGTGATGGACAATCGGCATGTCGGGGAATGTGTATGTCCTGCGTACTCGGTATTATGGCGTGTACCATTAAATCTCATGATCGATACGGTGTTAAAAGGATTGCACTTCCGGTGCAAACAAGTGCAGCCTGCCATCTTTCACTTGCACGTGGATATGACCCGAGTTTATTACCCTCGTGTCGCACAGAGGATGACAACGAAGCTGCAATTTCAGAGCAACAGTAAATTTTCGAAAGTACTCGCGAGGTACTTTTATGCCAGAAGAGCCTGATAATTAATATCCACCATTTCTCCTTTTCTTTTTATTTATTTATTATAACTACCCCGACAACCGACTGGGAGCCCGGAAAATTTTCGGAAAATTCATACTTTTCTGGATTTAAAATCCCAGTTTTAGGTAGTCTGTTAAATTCGCAGGAAAATTCATATCGAGTCGTCGAAAAATACTCCGTACGGGAAATGCTTGAAAACAAGATGGCGGGAAATATTGAAGGGGTCAAAGAGTGAGGGAAAAAAATACTTACACGATTTATCGGTGACCTAATTATAGTAATTGATGTCTACGCGATCCCCTCTCGGTACACCCACGCAGTGTGGTAACAAGTACGACATAGGCTTGGGTCATAAAAGGCTCGGCGAAAAAAAGGAAAAAAGGGAGAATTGGAAAAGGAAAGTTCTCAGCATCCGGAAAGATCTTTCCACAAAGGGTATATCAGACCCGAGGAGGCAGAATAATCATTCCGGTCGTTATAAAACATGGCGTCGTTTTTCTTTTTCTTTCCTCCCAGCCGGAAATTGAAGCGTCTGAATCTCGGAGGAAACCAACTAACGAGCATCCCCACGTCTGCACTTTCGACCCTCGATATGCTGAAGAAGTTGGAGCTGCAGGAGAACCACATCAAAAGCATCGAGGAGGGCGACTTCGAAGGTAAAACAGGAAAATGGGATCAGTGAAGGGTGGCGTTGTGTTTTTATTAAAGAGTCCCCCTGCAGGGTGGCATTTAGAAGGAAAGGACGTCGTTGTTTCCGAGGTGGACGTTTTAACAAAGGCCGAGGACTTTCGACAAAATGGCCGCCCCTTGCGAGTCCTCCTTAACGTCCCTCACCTACGTGACGCATCAGGCGCTTTTCGGGAAGGGAAAAGTTTTCCCCTGGAACGCCTCCCTCGGGAAAAGCGACGTCAAGGGAGGACCTACGAGGCGGAGCAGCCGGAATATTAAGGGGCTCCCTGCGCAAGCTTTTCTCGAATTTAAACGCACCACGCGAAGGAGATACTGCTTAATTTATTCCTACATGGGGTGGAAAGTATTCCGGCACCCGGGAAATAATTACGGCGTAATTACAGGTAAACGCGTGGGAGGGCTGGAGGAAAAGTTCGAGGGATCGGAAAGACGTGTTGGAAAAACTCGAGACAGGGGAAGAAGCGTCTCTAAGGATCTCGTTTCGGGATCTGGATCTCCCTTGGAAGGGAATTCGAGGGAGGAGAGAAAATGGATCGAAAAAGCAGAAAATTCCTGGGGGATGAATCGGAAGTATTTGGGATGTCGGGAAATAATTCCGGAATTACGTTTAAACGTAGGAGGATTGGGAAAATTTCCAGGAAAGAAGGGGTCGAAAAATCAGAAAATTCCTGGGGGATGAATCGGAAGTATTTGGAACATCGGAAAGTAATTCTGGAATTATGTTTAAACGTGGGAGGGCTGGGAAGATTTCGTGGGATAACCAGGAGTAATTTTGGAGGGTGATTTCCGGAAGGGGGGTGACCGTGTTGGAAAACTCGAAACAGGGGAAGAAGTATCTCCAAGGATCTCGCAGTTCTCTTGATCCACCCTCTCCTGGACCCGAACTCGAGGGGGAGTAAAAATCGGCAACTGCGGGAAATTCGAGGCGATAAATCGCCTCGAATTTAAGCGGCGAGTCATTATCGCGGCTTTTTTGGGAAAAAGGATCAGGGGCAGAGGGGAGGGAAAGCCCGAAGGATGTAGCCATTAATCTTCGGGCATGGAAAAGCCTTGGAAGAACTTTAGAGCTCCTCAAGAGCGCGAACTATGAAAAAGCAACCCCGAGCGCCGCCATTTTGCCGACGTCAAGTACTTTCGGGGAAAGGAGGCACAAACGAAACTCTTAAGGCCCCTTCTTGCCCGACCCGGCCAGAAGGGGTGGAAAGAAAATTAATAGTTCTAGATTAAAGGGCGAAACGCCGCGGGTTGGGGTTCCTCCACTTCCTGGGAGGTTAACCATGAATGCTTTCTTCGACTCCTCGAAAAGGGGATTTTCTGCAGGACCAAGGAACCCCCTCAAAGCTCCGGCCTTACTTTAACCATTTTCCAAACACTCCAACCGCCGGTTTAAAAATCTTCGGACACGACAAAGTCGGTTTTCAGTGACCTAGGGGTGCGAAACTGCGATTGTAATTTTTTCATCAAATTCTCTCCCCCATTTCTCGGTGAAATTCACGGTTTTCCGGGGTTTTCACGGGTTTTCAGGGGCTGGGGGGAGGAGAAGGGGCGAATTAAGGTTTTACCTTTTTCCTTTCGCAAATAACAGAGCCCGGGGCTCGATAATACGGAACGAAAGGGGAAACGAGTTGGGATTAAAGGGCGGCGAAAGAATCACGAGCGAGATTTCGCGCAGGGTGGTTTCCTTTCTTCTGCTCGCATTGAAGAGAGATCGCCACTCGATAAAGGACATCAAAGCTCGAGTTCTCTTTCTCTTTGATTCCAGGTCTCAAGAGTCTGGACTCCCTGGGATTGGCTCACAATTATTTGAGAGAAGTCCCTGCTCGCGTTTTCTCTCATCTGACGCAGCTCAACTCTCTGGAGCTCGACGGGAATCAGATCACCCACGTGGACTCGAACGCCTTCATCGGGCTCGAAGGTAAGGAAAATGGCAGGAAAGAAGGTGAAAGAAATATTTTCAGGTTCGGAAAATCAGGTGAATGTCGGAAAATATTTTCATCAAGTGGCCGACGAGTCGCCTCGACGTGGTACTCCAGGAAAACGGGCGACTCCCTCGGGAAAGCTCTCAAAAGTGCCATTGAAAGTACTGAGGCTGACGACACTTGCCAAGTGGCATTTGCTGAAGTACTGTCGTAGTCCCTGGTGACCGTAACAGTCGATTAAACAATTTAGGCGAGGATGAAAATGGCATGAACTTTACGAGCGCCGCTCAGGAGTGCAATTCCTCCTCTCTGAGATATTCTCCCCTTTACGAATTGTTTTAATTTATTTATTTGTTTATTCAAATCCTGCACTACCCACTAGGAATTTCACTCTCTCTTTCTCTGCCTGAAAGTTCTCCCCTTCGGGAATTATTTTTATTTATTTATTTATTCAATTCGAACTTGAAGAGCGCCACTCTGTAGTGCCATTCTACTCGCTCCGTAAATTCTCTCCTAGGCGAATTATTTTCCTCTATTTACTTAAATTATTTATTCAGTAGTTCTAAAATTGAGAAGGGTCATCGGAATTGCCAATTGCGTAAAAGGGGGCCGGTCCTTCGTTACTTTCTATTTTTATTCAATTACTTTATTACTCTGCTCCGCCTTCAGGATGAGCCCGAGGAAAAAGGAGCGAGCGGCGCGCACCGGGGCCGCAACTTGGAAAATTAATGTTGAAATTGCAGTTGAATTAGATCCAGGAACTTAGGGCACTTAGTCGCGGGCTTTGCAAGTTGCGGATCGCAGACTCGCCGTAGCATTTAATCATTGTAACGGCAAGTCCTCCAATTACGAGGTCGTGCTCAGCTGGCTGTCCGATTAATCGGATCAGGGAGAATTTCCACCTGGCGGCACCTTTGAGGTAGTTTTTCATCCACCCCTGAAAATCATTCCCAGATATCTCCTCAGGGCAATCTTCATCCGAGATACTTTCAGAAATAATTAATCTGGAATCCCATGAATTATTAATTTATCGAACCTTCCCAGAGATCCTCCATCACGGGATCTTAGTCATTTTCACCCTGATAAAAAAGAAATTCTCTGTGCATTATAAACATTTTCGAAAATTATTTATATCTGAGTTTTTAATCCTCTCCAGTAGAGAGACAATGAGATGGCCAAATTACAAGGTAGTGATAAGACGTCTTCGCTTGAAAGATTTTTCAAATTAATTTATATTTCATTTCTGGGAATGACAATTTCACAGTCGAGGAAAATTTAAATTGTTGGGGGACCATCGGATGCTCTTTATCGCCTCGTTAAATCGGATTTGCGAGGGTCTAGAAAGTAATCCTTAAGGTGATATGAAAGTGTCATATATGCATACTAAAAAGTCAAAATATTGATAAAACTTTCCTCCAAATTGGGTGCACCGGATCATTTGAAACTCCATCGCGAGATTATGGAGGCCCTAAGGAATAATTCAATGCTCGAGAAATTTTATTTTTCGACCAAAAATTTGTATTTATCTCGGACAAGGACCAAAAAAGAGATTTTTTTTCGAAAAGTAAAATTTCACGATCGTCGCGTTCTCTCTTAGGGCCTCCATAATCACGTATTAAAGTAAAAGATAATTCGGTGCACCCAGTTTGGAGAAAAGTTTTATAAATATTCTCATGTTTGATATGTATATAGAATGACTCTTTCATATCACCTTAAAGTTAACTTCATCCTGGAATCGCGATATCAGTAATTCTCTGTAAACCCGTCCCTCGATTTATGCAGTCTCGGTGCGGCTGCAATTCGATCGCGGTGTAACGCGGTGCACCGCACATCACGTGCACCTGGGGCTTTGATAAGGTGTCTCTACACATTGTAGAGAAGGTGAGCCGGCTTGGAAAAATGGTGAAAAGGAGGAAAATTCAATTTTTTCCAGAGAACCTTCAATATCTGCGACTCGGCGACAACAATCTGCACTCCGTGCCGAGCGACGCTCTTCGGCGCCTCCACCGTCTTCGTCACTTGGATTTACGAGCCAATAATATCACCGTGCTTCCCGAAGACACCTTCACGGGATACGGGGACTCCATAACTTTCCTGAATCTCCAGAAGAATCTGTGAGCATCCTCGTTTATTAAGGTCCCCGAAATCCGGCCGTCAAATCGACCCCAAAGTCCCCAGATTCGATCTCCACCCTACGTGCCTCGATTCCCCTAGGGTCCCAATCGCGAAGTTCCCAACTTGGTTAATTAAGATACCTGGTGGTACCACCTGTATGAGAAGTACTACTTGCCTTGGAAGGGAATGCACATCCTCTGGGTACACTGTTAAAAATCCGAGCCAATTTACCTGCATTTCTAAACACCTAATAAGTGAAGTTTCACATAGAAAAACGTAAAATGGAAAAGTTACTAATTAGAATACACGTAACATGGTATGTTTACCGTATTAGCGTATTTTTAATTGAGTTTTCATTAACTTAGCTTGTGATATTACAGATGCAATGTGATTTTATCGCAATTTATCGTGGCATCGAATTAATCAATGATTGAGTATATAGATTTACATGGGCGTTTTAATCAGTGTAATGAAACGATTAAGAAAATTCATTTCTAGGGCTTTCTTTATTTTCTTTTCAGGATCAAGATCCTGCCTACCACCGTTTTCGACAACCTGAATTCCTTGGAGACTCTTAACCTGCAGAATAATAAACTTGTACACATACCTGAAGAGGTGACGGAAAATGTCGTCGACACCCTTCGCGTTATCGACATAACAGGTGAGAGAGTCTTATCAAAGGGTGGGAGAGTTAAACGAGTGGATTCGTATTTTATTCATATGTAGGCATTCCAAAAAAAAGTTACACCCTTAGCCTTGGTGACAAATTTTCTCTCTTTCTGCAGTGACAATCAAACTTGTCCAATAATTGCACCAGAGACGTCATAATCAGATGACTCTTTAGAAAAAGATATTCGTTAATTTATGAACTGAAATTGCAGAAAAAGAAAAATATACACCTGCCGATGGTAACTAATATTGTCTTCGTGAATTAAATTCTGCTTTCATTTTCATATTTATCGGGAGTACAATTTTTTTTATTACGACGTGAATTACTTTTATCGTGGTCGAGGAAGAGTTAATGTTGATTATTCAGGGAATAACTTGATGGAAATATTTCCAGTCCCGAAAAGGATGTATGGACACATTTTAATATATTAAATTACCAGCAGATATATATAAATAAATGTCAAAAGTTTTCAGACAACCCGTTGATCTGCGACTGTAAATTGCATATACTAAATGATATAATAAATTACCAGTAGATAGATAAATAAATGTCAAAATTTTTCAGACAACCTGTTGATCTGCGATTGCGAATTGCATATACTAAATGATATAATAAATTACCAGTAGATAGATAAATAATTATCAAAATTTTTCAAACAACCCGTTGATCTGCGACTGCGAATTGCATATACTAAATGATATATTAAATTACCAGTAGGTAGATAAATAAATGTCAAAATTTTTCAGACAACCCGTTGATCTGCGACTGCGAATTGCGATGGTACTCGGCGTGGCTGAAGAACCTCCGAGATCGAGATGACGAGACGATGTCAAAAAAACGCACAGTCTGCACAATGCCATCCGAACACACGGAATATGCAGTGCAAAATATCCCTCTGGAAAGGATGGGATGCATCGGGAAAAATGCAGAAAGGACCTCTCGAGGACATGCGTCCTGTTGCTCGGCGAGCATAAATCTATTCGTCCTTTTCACCGGGGCTTTGACGTTTATTTAACCAAGAAACCGACGCGGTCTTCTAGAGCACGTCTTGCGAAATGACTTTGCAAAATGATTTTGCAAAATCCTCGCCGACATACGAAGACGGAGAAATTCTTCAAGGACCTCATCGTGGCGGGATGTAAATGGCAAAATAGCAAATCGTGGCAAAGCAACCCTCAAACAGAAGAAAAACAACTGATACGTGCGACGTTATCATTAATCGTCATCATTATTGACGATTTCAGTGGACAAGATCGAATTTAGTTATAAAGACATGTCCCCTCGCTCTCCTGCGCGAGAGAGATTAATTATTATTTATCTTCTTGGTATTTTACTTTTGGGTTTCTTTCTTAATTGTCCTTTTACTGGATAGCAGTACGTCGTTTTGTGGGACTTTTGGAACGGTTTTAATTTTTTTTTTCGGGCAATTATGAATATTAATTATCAGCTGGGGTTCGACTTTGGGCAGCGGAACTGCCATACGTGTCTTGCTTATGGATGCAATTCTGCATATTTGCATTGAATCGGCGCGCATGCATGCTTCGGTTATCTCGCAATGTTTCCTCCGAGCTGGATTTAATTACAGGCTTCTATGCGGTATGAACAATGTAAAGCAATTATGCAATTACCGAGGAGCGTTTAATTCTAGGATCAAGTGGTGCGAACTAGGTGGCACCGTCGAGGTGCGATTCTGTAAGATATTGATATGTTATTGACATGTTACTGACATGTCCCGATGTAAAAAAGGACGTCGAAAGTTTAGACCTAAGTTTCCGTTCGAGCTTCGTCCCCGCTAATCAAGATGATCGATTAATATTATATTTTTCTGCAATCTAAGTCCTCATTTCTTTCCTTTAAGCATAAATTAGGGTCTGATTTCTCGAGAGCAGACATAAATATTAACATTACAGACTTTTTTAAGAAACGCCAAGGTTTGTCCCTAGGAGGGAGTATTTATTATCGCAATTTTCGACGGAGTTTCGAAAATCTTTCCCGGATGGTCCAGCGCGAGATATATTTTATCCCAGGAGATGAATCGACGTTATTTTTGTTACTACTAAATGTTAACTTCGAGAATGACAAAGTACCCTTGACAATCGTTGCGTAGCTACGTCAGCTTGTAAGTGAATTGTTTAATTGAAATTCAGAGATCATTCTTACTTTATTACATAAAAACATAAGCGACTCCTCGAGATGAGCTTATTTATTAGCGATACTTTACGTTTTTATTTATACCATTTACGCAATTAGGATTGCGTTCCAATGTCGTAGCGAATTTTTCCCCTAGAGCTTTCTTCACCGTATTGACGGAAACGTCAAGAAAACTGAATAACAAACCATCATTAATTTTCCAAGAAGTTAACCTCGAGGCAATTAGTGATTAATTAAAGATTTGCGAAGGAGCGACTTTTATTGGGCGCGTCATCAAAGTACGTAAAAGGGAAAAGAAAGTCTAAAAAAATAAAATCGAGACATATCGATCGAGCTTCGATCTCGGGATCATCGATCAGCCATTACGGATGAGCTTTCTCATGCCGATTGATACATATCAGAAGGGATGCCAAGATCAATGATTTGTGATCATTTTCCTCTCTTTGATGAAGAAAAAACGTCGAAGGAGGGCTTTTATCATACATATCAGCTCGATATCGAACGAGCGGCGAGATCGAGGTTTACCTCGGTTCGACATTTCGAGACTGGAGTGATTTATATCGACAATGATTACGAATTCATGACTGATCAATCGAGGTGGGGAAATCGTGTCGAAATGTCGAGGCTCGCGCTATTCAAGGACTAACAATGACGGAAAGTAATGCGACTCGCAATTGTCTAGTTATAATTAACGCCGATAATATAGTTTAAGGCTTAAGGATTACCACGACTGCGTACCGAAACTAGTTAGAGATAAGTGCATAACCGCGTGATTCACAATCATGCCGTGTTCCGACATTACGAGTTGGTGGCCTCCGATTTGGAAAAAGAAGACAAAAGAAAATGGCAGAATTTTTAACAATTCATAATTGGCAGCGAGAAAAAATTATTGACACCGCCACGGGGAATTCTCAGTGAAGGAACACGGTTATTACGGGGTAGAAAATTGCGCTGAAATTTGGGGAAAACCGATCGGAGTAGAAGTTTCGAGGAGATCTTGAAAATTTCCTGATGTCAGTCGAGCGACTTTTGTACGGAAAATAGGAAAAAGAAAATGTGGCAAAAGAGCGAATCACCGCAAAAATTACTATTAATTACTACGCTATGGAATTGCAATGGCGAATCGCTGTAGTGGAAATGTTGCCGGGAATGACCTCGAGTAATAGGTGATTACTATAAATGTTTCTATTGCATTGTTGGCAAGCTTGGAATTTTCTTTACATTTTCTGTAACAAGTTCTCGAGGTCCTTCCCGAAATTTTCATTTCAGCGCGACATTAATTCCATTTGCCCCAATGACGAGGAAGACGTCAGACATACATATCATTTATATATCCCAGATTTGTCCGATAAGTAAGAATGATACATATATATATATACACATAATTATTATACAGCGTATATATACGTTTTGAAAAAGCTTGACGCTTTGCCGTTACACGTCGTACATATACATATCCGTAACATATGAGATTTAAGAGGATTTATTTGTTAAAAATCTCTACACGTTACATATGCATATAAAATATATTGAATATATAAATATATACAAATATATATACAATTATACACACAACTCGGACGCTGTATCAGGATCGCGAAGTGATACCTTTCATTTAAATGAAATAATTCATGAAATAGTTAGACAACCTGATTTACCATGGCCCTATTATAATTGAAAAAAGTAATTATTATTCGATATTCAAAATTGTTTAAAGGGGAAGAAAAAGAATTTCGAGAGGATGGGATGAAAATTCAGGATTCCAAAGTCGCGAGATACAGGGTGACGAGTTTTTCGCCCGAAACCTTTAGAAACTAGTCCATAGTGGTTAGAGGTCGTTAGAACTCCCTAGGGATATAGTGGAAAAAAAAGTAACTAAATAAAACAGATATACGCACGAGGGCCCTCCCGGGCTCGCTTCTGGAGGGCCCCAAAGACCATGTCGAGACATATCTTTGCCATGGGGTATCTCGTCGAGTGCGCCCCCTTAATTAATTACTAACAATTATATGAGGTATTTTTGTACAGTCTCTTACAGTGTCGGAAAGTTGCCTGCGCCCCCGACGAGGGTACCCGGCACCCCTTTGCGGCATTTCTTTCCTCCTGAACGGCAATATGCAAATCCGCTGCAGCCGGAACTCGGACAAGGGGAAAGAATTGCGTTAGAAATTATTAAAAATTACTAAGAATTACTAAAAATTACTAAAAACACCGGACGACGTCCAGGGAATATTCCTACACCGAGGAGGAAATTCAATGAACCAAGGAAATTTGAATGGTACCAGAGAAATATTTGGTTAAGAATAATCATTTGCCTTAAATAACCTGAAACAAATCTTCATGATGCCGACGAAAATGTTGCATTCGATTTATTCCAGTTTATTCGAGTCTAATGATTATACTTTGAATTAACAAAATATTTCATTTGGTACTATTCAGGGAAATATTTCTCTGGTTCAATGACACTTTTTTTCCGGGTAGGTCAGGGGGACGAAAGTGCACCTTTCGAACCTAAATCTCGTTTATGTCGAGTGTACCTAGGTGTAATGCATGTCGCACTTAATCGACCCTCGACCTGTATGCAAATTTCGAATAATTAATCTGCACACACGTCGCGGGGTACGCGAACTCGTATCCAAGAGAACAAATGAGAGGTTACCTGGGGCATAATCAATTGATAATTAATCCTTCAAACGCTATGCCTAACGTTATGTAGATTTCGCGCTTATAAGTGCACATACACATATGACGATGCGTGTGTGTTCATATGGCGTGGCTCGATTGTCGTCGATGTATGTATATCGATAATTCGAGGCTTGTCGAAGCCCTCGGAGGTGTCTACCGATATTGTATAATTATCCAGATTCAAACGTTCTACGTGTCATTTATTATCTTGTTGAACTATTACTGTGTATGTGTGGCACCTTGAAGTGAATAAAGATTAACTAACCATAATCCTCCGATCGATAGATAATTTCCCAAGTTTCTCAATTTTAAAAAATTAAATTCTAAATTAAGTACACTGAGAAAGGAATATTATTGAATCAAAGGATTATTTTCTTAATTTAAAGAATAATTATTTGACTTAAATGAGCGCGAATAAATCCGACGCAACGTTTATTTGGAATTATGACAATTATTCGAGTGAAATAATTATCCTTGAAATTAACCAAACATTTCTTTGGTGCAATGAATCGTTTATTCTCAGTGTAGGAACATTATTTAGGTAATAAGAGGGATAAACAATTGATTAGTCGTCAACCGAATCCTCGACATAGTGTCTCGGTCGTCGACAGAGAGATTCGCGAATCGATCCCTATTTATATATCGAAAAGGTAAATTAAAAAAATTAAATTCTAAATTAAGTACACTGAGAAAGGAATATTATTGAATCAAAGGATTATTTTCTTAATTTAAAGAATAATTCTTTGACTTAAATGAGCGCGAATAAATCCGACGCAACGTTTATTCGGAATTATGACAATTATTCGAGTGAAATAATTATCCTTGAAATTAACCAAACATTTCTTTGGTGCAATGAATCGTTTATTCTCAGTGTAGGGACATTATTTAGGTAATAAGAGGGATAAACAATTAATTAGTCGTCAACCGAATCCTCGACATAGTGTCTCGGTCGTCGACAGAGAGATTCGCGAATCGATCCCTATTTATATATCGAAAAGGTAGACCGTCTCGCTTTGACATCGACGTCTTATCTGATTGGCCAATGAGGTCGTGCTACATTTATCGAGGCTGAAAGTGGCTGCCAAAAGCGACTCTTTTCTAAGCTCAGAAGCACCTAGCAATCGACTGCACTCCTCTTAAAGGACGCAACCAAGATTAAACTGCTGTAAACTATCGCTAGAGCAATCGGTATAATGCTTTCCGTATGCGATCTCGCCTTGAAATTGCATCAGGTCAAGATACACGTGTCTCTTGACATCGAATCGACATTACCGAGCTGCCAATTCGATTCGCATCGAGAGAACCATTCGATCCATGTAATTGACATTAATGGGAAATTATTAGCAAATTTTAATTAACCATCCGGAACGATGAGAGTGACGTCGAAGAACTCCCTGAAAGTCGCATTTACTGAGTCCTCTTAATTTATGAAAATTAATGTCATTTCACCGAGAAATTCCTTATCGGTGAAATTATTTAAGGGTCGTTTATTTTTGCTGGTCGATTGATTTTTTTCAGGGCCATCAATCGATCCTGTCACGAATTGCGTATTATTGAAATTTTTGCTAATTACCAATTAATGATATGTTCAGGAATTGCCAATCATTGGAAATGAATGCCACTTCATCGAGAAATTTCTTATCGGTGAAATTATTTAACGATGGTTTATTTTTGGTCGTCGATTCAAGGTTCGGGTTGATCGATTTTTTAGGGCCATCGATCAACCCTGTCACGAGTTGCCAATCAGTGACATGGCGAAGAGAAGCGATCGAAGTGATCGAAGTCATCGGTGCAATTGTGGGGGGTAGCCTTCGACCAGATTAACCAGTCGATTCAAAAGCTTTTTATAGTGTTCCGAGCCAACAGATGATCGTCGTTGACCGATTGACACTTAGATGATGCGTCAACCTGTAGTAGTGATGCACTAATTGGTTTACTGTCACCAGACGAATCCATCAGTTAACGAAAGACCGCGGAAAAAAGACGCAGCCAGCTCCTTGTCGCCTTTTGCGAAGAGTGTCTCGACGCGTTTCAATAATCGTTTCGAGCCACCTTTGTCAAGACTTTCCCGCCAGACAAGACAAGGAAAATGGTAAATTTCTGGGATCATTTCCTCAAAGTTTTGCGACGATCTTTAAAAACGTAACCCGGGGGTTAAAATCGATATCGAAAACAAGTAATCGCAGTGTATTGTGCTCCGAGTGGGAAAGTGCATTTTGGATTTTGATTCCCAATGTGCAGTGATTGTTAAACAAAAAAAAAGTATATTAGCCACAGTGAACTCAACAATGCCTCGAAGTGCGACTGAAAATCAGATGAACCTTTTTTCTTTTTTTTTCTCTTTAAAGATCGACATCTAACGAGTCCATTCCTTCCGGAGGAAATTCGCGTTTCAGATTTCGTTTCCCAGATTGCAGAGTTCCGAAAGTTCGTCGGGAATTCGGAGTTCCGAGTTATCGTTTCCCAATCGAGTTCGCAGAGTTCGGTAACACCTGCTTGAATAAACAATCAACGGGTATGAAAATTTGGAAACTTGTTCGGCATGTCGGAGGGTATTCAAAGGAAAATTTGGAAACTGGTTCGGCATGTCGGAGGGTATTCAAAGGAAAATTTGGAAACTGGTTCGGCACGTCGGAGTGTATTCAAAGCACGCACGAAATCCTGAAGAGCTTTTCCTGGTCCAAGGCCTTTGATCGGGACCGAATCCGATTGTCTAATTCCGAGTAAAACGGAGCGTCGAGTCATCCGAATTTGCATATAACAATTTAGAACGGGGAAATGACTTCTTGGCACCCATTCGGCCGACAGTAAAAATTTTAATTGTCTCTCATTTCTCGCCGGTGAAGCGATCGTTATTTTCGCAGCAATTGCCCCGAACGAAAGCCAACTCATGACACAATCATTAAAATCATATCCTTATCTTCCCAGGCGTTGGAGGGTGGACTGAGCAAGGACCAACTTAAGCGTAAGTGCGAAAAATTCCTAACACCTCTTATTAACTGCAAAAAAGAAATATTACTAAGCTCAATCCGATTTTTCATCGAAGATCGACGCCGAAGAAAATTACGAAAAAAATCAATACACTCATCCGATTTCTTACCGCATATCTAATGATGGCGTTCGACATGTTTGACACTGAAAAGAATGATGAAAAACATTAATACACTCAATCCGATTTTTTATCGTATATCTAATGATGGCGTTCGATGTGTTTGACATCAAGAAAAATTACGAAAAAAATTAATACACTCAATCCGATTTTTTATCGCATATCTAAAGGTGGCGTTCGACACGTTCGCCAGCAAGAAAAATTATGAAAAACATTAATACACTCAATCCGATTTTTTATCGCATATCTAATGATGGCGTTCGACATGTTTGACGCCGAGAAATGAGTAAAAAAAATTAACATACCCAATCCGATTTTTTATCGCAGATCTGAAGATGGCGTTCGACACATTCGACACCGAAAAAAAGGGAGAGATAACCAACGACTTAATCAGCACAATTTTGAGCATGATGGGCATCGAGCTAAAGGCAGACGTTCTTCAAGAAGCCATCGCAGAGGTCGACGTATCTGGTACTAATGTCAATTTAGAAACAATCCTAGGTAATAATTTGGATTTTAAAAGTAATGATCGTGACTTTAACGCCGATTCAGATTCCGGTTCAATGAATTACGAAGAATTCTGCCAACTGGCTGCCAAGTTTTTGGAGGAGGATCAAGACACGGAAGCTATCCAACAGGAGCTTCGAGAAGCTTTCCGCCTATACGACAGAGAAGGAAATGGTTATATCACCACCGATGTTTTCCGCGACATCCTTCACGAGCTTGACGACAATTTGTCATCGGAAGAGCTGGACATGATGATCGACGAAATCGACGCCGACGGTTCCGGGACCCTCGACTTCGACGGTACAAATTCCCGAATAAAATTCCCCCTACTCCATTTCTAATTTCTACACGACAATAAATAATGACATGATAACTAGTATCCCGATTTAAAGCCGAATTTAACTATTTCAGAGTTCATGGAGGTGATGACAGGCTAAGTCTGCCGGATTTCGAGTCGCCCTATCACATACCATCTTCGACTCGACTTTGTCCTAAGCTGCGATGTTTATAATTAAATGCGACTGTAACGAGTGAACGAAATAATACTCATTTGCAAGGACCACGAGTAGACCCGATTGATTTCCCCCCGAGGATTAATTAAATTAATTTTTCCTCGCGTACAATTTTTTAGATTAATGCGGATCATGTGTATGTAGAGATGACCCAAATGGCGCACTATTACGAGATGTTTGGATAGAGACGGATTTGCCTCCAAAGGGACCAGGTGTATGAACGAACGCCTCTATCCAAACATCCGAGGCTACTAATTCCGTCCGAGAGCCGTACAAATTCTCGCGAGCTCGCAAATTAGCCAGGCGACACGAGCGATTGAGCATCGTTTGTCATTAAAATCCATGTAAATGCATCTGGTGACGATAAGTCGTTAGGCGAAGTTGGCAGTCAGCCTGAACCCAACATGGTTCTAGGCAATGGCCCTAACCTGTATATTTTTAGCTCTTCTAATTATACGACCATAAGCCAGTTGAGAAGAGCTATTATATTTAGGCGAATCCATTGTCGAGAGATGCTGCGAAGATCTGCTCGAATCATCGCGGATGATTCTCGACCCTCGACTACCATTTTTAGCGAATTCTTCAAGAGGATGCCGAAGATCGCTTCTTTTCCCAGAGAGTCATGAAGAGCTGCCACCTGGTGGCTCGTTCACTTCCTACGACTGGTTTGATAGGTGTCATGTGGACTGTTAGGTTTCGAATTGATAAAAAAAATGCGACAAACCTGACAGATGTCACGTGGACTGTCACCTGACATATGCCATGTTTTTTTATCTATCCATCTTATCATCAATGAAACCTTACGAATTGATAAAAAACATGACAAACTTGATACATGCCACGTGGACTGTCAGGGTCGGAATTGATAAAAAACATGACAAACTTGACAGATGCCACGTGGACTGTCAGGGTTCGAATTGATAAGAAACATGACAATCTTGACACGCGTCGATCAGCAGATAGTAGCGAGAAGGGTTTTTCAAGAGCAATCTTGAAGCCTTGTTGAATTATTTTTCTACTCTCGTGAAGATAAAGACCTTCTCCAGGATTTCAGTATCATTCCTGATGACGATAATAAATTTATAATCCGCAATAAATTCGTAGCACGTGCCGATTTGCATATTGTCATGATCTTGGCCTCAATTTGTTGTTTTAATCTCACGATGAACTAAGAGGAAAGGCTGACTTAATTCTTAATCCATTAATAATTAGTTTAACCCTTGCAATCCTTTGTCGTGGGTGACTCGACATCAGCAATCGACATTTCAATAATTGGGAGTGCAAAGGATTAATAATGAAAGGAATGGTGATTCTGGATTTTTACAGGGAAAGTAAAGCGAGCTGAAGCAGAGTCCTCCAGACAAAATCACGGCATTAGTTCTTCGCAACCCTTTTACATAATTTTCCAGTGGTTGGCGTGTTTCCCCCCAGGCGGTAAATCAAAGTTTCGCGTTTCCCTCGATTTCCGGGAACCGTCAGCTGAAAACACACGTCGCCTTAATTTCACGATCCACGGTTGATGAAACGATTCGGGCCTATCCGATTAAAATTTGGCTCCTCTAGTGTTGGATCTGACAAATGCAGCTGCGACGACCAACAATCGTTCCGGGTGATTTGACTTTTCTATATTTGAATTTCCCGCCAATCTCCGCCTCGGCGACAATACCGGGCCAAAAGGGGATCGCGAGATTTCCAGTCGATTTCCGATACCTTCACCAACTGCTATCGTCTTGGAAATTTTTTGACATGTACTTGCACTCTCCTGCTTCCGAAAAAAAATTTTGTCTTTGCAAAAAGTCCGGGAAAAATTGGTGGGAAAAATTCCCGGGGGACCTGGTCTACCGAATCGAGGCTTCGCCGAAAGAGGGAGGAGACGTCCTCGATGAATTTGAAAGCTACTAGAAAAGCCTCGGGTGTTCCCTGTTAAAGGCACGTGCCAGGAAATGCTTGTAATCACTTAAATCTGAAGTTCAGTGCCAGTTTTCAGCCGGAAACTCGAATAGGATTTAACCAGAGGGTCCACTCTTCTGGTGGCTGTCTCGAAGATCGGTACCCGTCGTCGCAATGGCAAGTTCCTCCCTGATCAAATCCCCATAATTATCCGAAATTTTCTCCCAATCTCAATGAAAACCCTCGAATTTTTCCGCGGTGAACCTCTCATAAATCGGGTGATTTCTTTCCTTGCAGGATGATCTTAACAAGGACCAGATCGTGCGTAAGTAGAGTGACTCGCGTTCAGGCAGAAATGTGGAAATAATAAAAAAAAAATATAAAAAAAAACACAGAAATTGAAAATTAAAAGGACGACAAGCAACGCCGTCCCTTCCCACGCTGTGATAAGTGAAAATAGTGCGATAGTGGTTGACCGGGTGGTTTTTGAAAATTTTCAAATTTTCCTCCCCAGTCCTGAAGAAGGCTTTCGATGCTTTCGACCACGAGAAGAAAGGATGCATCGGGACAGACATGGTTGGGACAATTTTGACAATGTTGGGTCACGAGCTGAGCGAAACAACGTTGCAAGAGATCATATCAGAAGTCGACGAAGATGGTAGGAATAAATTGAAACAATTAACCGGAGTTTACAGCTATAAATTAACTCTGAAAAAGAGCGCCGAAGAACCTTCACTTCCGAAAACAAGTCATTCCACGAAGTACTTCCGAGATGGTTGCAAGTTAAAGGAAGTAAGAAAGGAAAGATTCGAGTTATGGCCTCCTGGGGAGCGGCACTTTTTCTTTTTTTTTTTTTCCGTGGATCCAATTTGATTTTTACCAGTTTTCAATTTTAACCCGACTCTGGTGATTGGCATTATTGACTGGGGCAATTTAACGTCGGCTTGCTTTTTGCGCATCAGGAGGTAAACAAGGCATTACTCGAAACGCTCGAATTGCTCCGTAAATCGGAAAGCCATAACTTACTGGCCTAATCGTTGCTTTTGCGAGCCTCGAGAAAACCAGCTACATACGATGCAAATATTCGGTACAATTGCTCGCGTGTAATACAATAGCTAAAATTGCTCCGTTTTTCTCGAGTTATTCGGAATGTTCGAATGGACTATATAGACCAATTCGCGAATGGAATTGCTCGTAATAAAGGAATTCTTCGTTTTTCCGCCGAGGAATGCTTGAAGAATTTCGAAGACATTCGTGGATTTAGCAATTGACAATTTAGAAGATATTCATCGAATTAGTAATTCCCGGTTTTCTTACGTGAATTCTGATTTTCAGGATCCGAAGAGCTGAAATTCCAGAAATTTTTCACTTCGGAAGCTTAATGAATTTTGACGGCGTTAGTTGATTTTATGATCTGCAATTTTGCGACGTGAATTTTCATTTTTAGGATCCGGGGTGCTGGAATTCGAGGAATTTTGCACCCTGGCTGCGAGGTTCCTCGTAGAAGAGGATACGGAAGCGATGCAGCAGGAGTTAAGAGAAGCTTTTCGACTTTATGATAAGGAAGGGAATGGTTACATAACTACGGACGTATTTCGAGATATTCTTCACGAGCTCGATGATAAATTGTCCCCTGAAGAGCTGGATCTCATGATCGAGGAAATTGATGCCGATGGATCGGGCACCCTTGATTTCGATGGTGAGTTGATTATCAGATCAATTGAAGTAAGTAATTGGTAATGTTAAATGAAACCTAGGTGATAAGACGTCGACTGATTGAACAATTTTCAGAGTTCATGGAGGTAATGACGGGCGGTGATGATTAAATTCCGAAAACGGCGATAAAAATGACGCTTTGAAATGGAAATGACGGTTCGATGCATTTCTGGGGATGCAGAGAAGGACATAATAATGCATATCTATGCGGAATTAATAAGACAATTAAAGAACATCTCGGGAAGACATGCGATCGCTGAAGAAATTCCATCACATGACGTGTACATATCATTTGAACGTCCCGAATAAAATAACTTCCGCATGTCATGGATCTCCGATTATTCATAACATTTTCCACCTGCTTAGCAAAGGAATAATTACGAGAGAAATTTTCTATTAGGTAGAGCCTGAAATCAAGCTGCAAGAGTTGCACCCAAGTAGGAACGGTCACTCCAGCTCAGGCGCGGAATTAAAATTCATATTTCCAGCAACAACGAGTGAAGAAATGAAGTACGTAGTCTCATTTTTACGATCTTCCACTTCAGGATTGTCATCGCAACTATTAACAATTAAAGATCTCTTGTATTATAAATTTTGATATAGCGCCCAAAATCAGTCTATCTGATTTTCATCAAAGTACTACCAATTGTCTACTCGTGAGGACAAATGGAGAAAGTAACAATGTCTTGCACAGAGACTTCTTTGTCGAATATCGACTTTCCTTCCTAGTAATTATTTTTTTCCCTTCGATTCACACGTGAAGGTACTCACGGTTACCCATGAAAGGAACCGCAGTGTCAAGAGTCTCGCCACTTATGGAGTCCATACCGAGTAATACAATATACAAGACCCCATAATTTCCATTCCGTTTTAAGGTGACGTACTGAGTAACATTATAAACCATAAAAGCCACGGCCTACGAGTTTAATTGGTTCGTAGGAGCCTAACCAAATTGGAGACATTACATCCTCCCAGCACAGCCATTGCACTTGCATTTCCCACGATGCATAATAATGCACGTTGGTGCATTTACGTGGGCGAAAATTCCAGTTCATAGTTTCCATTCTATTCTCTCATCAAAGTCACAAGACCAGCCACAAAGATATCCATTTCCTGCAAACAATAAATGCAAAATTTGATTCGACACCCCGTTCAATAATTAAACAAATTCCTCCAAGCCATACACAGATAAATATTTGGTTGACTGAATAAAATTTGTATTGGTTAAACCATACAACCATACCATACATGTGCAACTAAATGACTGACACGAGTAAATTCTATGCCTGAAAATTTTTCATCACATAAAATATTAAAGTGATTTGGTACATTTAATCAAAATGTCTATCTAATTTTTTTCGAAATGAACGAAACGAGTTAACCAATACAATTTTAGACGACCGAAGAAGAGTTTGGTAAAATGAGCTGAAATTAACCAAATGCAGTCGATTTTGTTAAATAAACTAAATTTTTCTACGTGCACGCAGGTTTACGATTTAACGGAATTTCAGGCGTGGAGAAAAAAAGAACTTGTTAGTAATCATGTCTGCAGTTACGTATTAATTAAGAATTATATTAACATTGGAACCGAACGGCTCACGGCGTTACATAAAATCTTGATAATTCCAGGAGGTGCCGTAAAAAGCATCGCTTGAGCATTGGCTCTCCATGGATATAATGCGTTCTCCTTAAGCCTTGCCAGGAGAAAGCTCTATGCAAATTACCGCGGGAAAAATGAATGAAATTGTTCACGAGGTCCGGCGATGACGCAACGCGAGCCTCCACGTGGGTCGAAAATCTTGGGGTAGGTCGCGCCTCCACCGGGAAACTTTCAATCGACACCTGCGGCTCGATATGTATCGCAACGAGCGATCGAGAACAGTCTCGAAGTCGGCTTCGAGAGGTCTGAAAGGTCTCTCGAGCGAACACGTGAACAATCTCCCGGAAGTGGCGCGGTCGAACTTTACGACTCGAACAAGACGATCTATCGAATCGAGCAGAACATAGATCGCTAACTCGTCCAAAAATCGGAATTACTTAAAAGGACAGAAAGAAAAAGAAAAATGTCTCTTCAGAGAATTTCTGTAAACCCACCCATTAAAAATCATATTTATGAAATGAAAAACAGAGGGAAGAAATATTCCTACGCCGAGGAAAACATTCATTGTACGAAACAACTGTATTTTAACTTCAAAGACTGATTGGCCAAAATCAAGTCAAATAAATTTTCAATTATTTGAGTTCTTTGATTTCTTAACAAAATTAATCATTGCCACTGTTTAAGGAAATATTTCTCTGGTTAAATGAAATTCCATTTTCTCAGGGTGTATTTGTTATCCAAGAGGACATCTCTTCTGGGGAATTGTTAGGGGAGGGGGGAAATTAAATGTTACCCAATTTTTTTATTTTTTTTTTATCGGAAATAGAAGGGAAATTGCGATTGTCCGGACCTTCACGTTTATGTAACCTGCGCGCTAATTTTTTTTTTATAGTCCACGTCGGTGGCAATTTTCAGCCGGTTAGTTACGCCTGCCAATTGGCACCCGGTAAACGTCAAAGTGACAGCTGTCAGCTGGGAACGGATTCTGGGGAGTTCGTGTCGAGAATTTTCAGCTCTGACGTTTATGGGTCGGATTTTTCTGGGCTCGATAAAAAGGGATCGCTGGTCGATTTTCCTCGACCGGGTACTTGGATCGATAATGACACGCAATAATACGCACCGTGGGAAAGACAAGGTGCGTCACTTCCGGTCTCCAGACTCGATATTACACGATTTTATGAGTTATCGTTCTTACTCCTCGTTATGTCATTACGCGTAAATCGGGCAAATCGGGTTTCCGTACTTGTGAGAATTCCCCGGAATTTATGAGAGAAAGAGAAGGAAAATGTTTTATAAGAAACGGTGCTCGATAGTGAAACTTAATTACTTCGTACGCAGTGAGGCGATAGTGTGAATAATCGGAGTTAAAACATCGATTAGTGAAGTCATTTAACATCATTTCATATCTAATGGCGATAGGGAAATTATGGACCAATCATGGTTTAATAACGAGGTTTATGATTCCATTTCTTCTCTTAAATTATGTATAATTATTATTCCCTTTAATTGATCGACTCTCTAGCTCGTATGTAGCAATAACGCGCGTTAAGAGGGATTTAAAAATATTAATTAGCGAAATTATTAAACGTTATTTCATGCATGATGGCTATAGGATAAACCATCGGTAAGTAGAAAGTAGCTGACAAAAAGGGGCAGCAATGTCTTCGGCGAAATACCTATTAGCATACTGTATCTTGGTATTTATCTTTGCTTTATACCTCCCTTGCTTTATGATGACGATTTTAGTAAGTGCTAGTTTGCTTAAGCCATAAGTTTTACGACTGGAGTTTTCCGTTCCACTGTTAAAGAAGAGGCGTGCTGTATTTCGGTTACAACGGAAATAAATACGGAACAGGGGAAAGTAATCACGGGAATAATCGCGTCCACTCGAAATATGTGGAATAGTTTCTTGGAAGTTGGAATAAAAACTGAGGAAGCACTCGATTCAATCTCGAAGTGTATACGGAGAAATGTAAAGAGAGAGGAGAAAGGGTGAGAAGGAAAAAAATGGTGGGCAGGAAGTAAGTGTCATGGCGAGCAAAATCCCATGTCGGAATTGAAATCGTAAAGGCAAGCTTGCAATTGGTGGGACATTAGGAAACTGTTCTACCGGTGTTACGTTGAGTGTAGAACCAGTCATCTTAAAACCGATCCCTGGAAGCCTGCTTGAAGAAAGTACATGCTAAGTGTCCTTCTCTTCCATTTTCACCATTCCGGGAAATAAAAAGAAAGCCGGGCCATTTCATTGTAATAAAGTTTTACCCTCTCATCAAGCGACATTCCGACTGAAATATCCCACAAGGTGTTAAATAATTCCAATAACACTTTCCCCAAAAAGTGAGGAAAAATGTCATAGCCATTTTTAATGCTAGAATTTCAAGAAATAATTAAATTAACATTTAGACCTTCTCGAGCTTAACAGGTGTCGAGTCTTCGTCAGGAAACGAATTTAATTCCGCCAAGCCTAACAATTAACGGCCAGGGATAAATTACGCCTTTAAAGGGTAATGAAAGAGAGACGGAATGAGGGAAAAAATGGACCATGGCTCTTGGCACATTTACAGGAAAAAGAAAAAATTATATTCTCTCGTACGAGAGGTGGCGAGTATAATGAACGAGTTCCAAGTACGAAAAGGGTGTACTTGTATTCGGGCTAGAAGAAACGATTTTCGCCGTGGGGAGTAATAAAGGTTGCGCCCGAAGAAATTACTTCGGTTACACGAGGTGGATTATGTTCCTCGGAGTAATAATCGTTTTCATAGGAGGAAAATTGCGCGGGCATGGATTCTCTTTTTTCTTTCTCCATAAGTCGGCGTAAAAGTACGCCCGCCGTTTTCCGCCGAAAGGGGAAAGAAATATAAAACGACAGTTGACGTGAAACTCAAGCACGTGTGTAACCAGGATATTGCAAAAATCGTCCTTTTGCGGTAACCTGTGAAGCGTGTAAAATTGTTTAGTAAGGATGTGTGACGGCAGAGCAATTAGTCGAGTGCGTTAATTCTCGTCAGTGAGATCCCCCGTGGATTCGGTGGTTATTGCTCGTTAACTATAAATTATATACGTGCACTGACAATAAGGAAAAAGTATTTCGTCAAGGAACGCCTGGCCCCGAAGCAGGAAATTAATTATCCCGCGAAATTAATTATCCGGTAGCTGGAAAGCCAGGGAATTTTAGCGGGAACAATATTTCAGGGCTCCGCAAGAAGAGGCTTCACAATTCGGGGTCCCTAATTATTAACTAACAATTTTATATTTATTTAAACTGAGCCCCTAGGGCTTTCCTCATTCCTGGAATAATAAATAAAAAGACCTCCGGCGATTTTCCACTTTTCTTCAGGGAAGTGCAGAATCCCTGACGCGATATGCAATTTGGAGTATAATGGCATGCATTAAAATTGCATATGCATCGATTAGCTGGAAAATCCCCGTAAAAGGGGATTATGAAGATTTTAGAGCCTGTTATCGGTTACGAAATGATTTCTCATGACTTAATAAAAAATACCAGGTGAAATCCCAGACAAGTATCTAAAAATTTGAATTATTGACAAATTATGTCAAACAACTTCAGAGGTAATTACACGTTACTTAGCGCCGGTACGTTCTCTTGTCCCTGTAGGGATACTTTTTTCTCCCCTCAAGTTGGAAATGTTGAAATTCTTGAGAGGGAATTTAAATAAATAGCATTACACCTTCCGAGTCTAAATGACCGCGGGAAAAACAAAATATTGCGC